CATCTTCCCATTCATTCTTACGGTATTGCACTTGCTTTTTCTGTAACCCTTCTATTTTTACTTTACTTTCTTTCAGTTCTTTTTTTTAAAATAGTATTGTTATTAAAAGTTTTAACTACAACAATAAAAGATAATAAAACTAAAAAGAGAAAGAGAAGGAGGAAAAAGAGAATAAAAAGTGCAAGAAAGCAAAAAAGGAAGAAAAACTAGAAAGAGAAAAGAAAAGAAACCTAAGAAAGAGACTTCCCACCCCCATCACAACAAGTACAAACAATTTATCTCTTCACCTCCTCTTAGTTAACAAATATAAAGCTCTTCATCCCATAACCCAACTCTTAACTATAGGCAAGTCCAATAAACAATGTCTTTTCCTATCCAGGTGTCAGCAAAAAGTCCAAACAGAGCCCTAGAATAATCACATTTGTTAATAAATATAAAACTCATCAATCCATATCTCAACTCTTAACTGTAAGTAAATTCAATACACAATGTCTTTTCCAGTCCAGATGTCAGCAAGTCCAGAAAGAACCCCCCCCCCAAATTCTTAACTATAAGCAAGTCCGATAAACATCTTTTCCAATCCAGGTGTCAACAAAAATTTTTAAACAGAGCCCTAAAATAATCACATTAGTTAACAAACATAAAACTCATCAATCCATAACTCAACTCTTAATTGTAGGCAAACTGACAGTGTCTTTTCCAATCCAGATGTATGTTAGTCCAAAAAGAACCGCCCAAAATAACAACATATCCCATTTTAACCCTGAACAAATAAGCCAAATTTATGTTCCTTCTTTTTACATAAAACAATCTTGCTCTTTAATCCATTCGAATGATCATCATCCCTTGTCTCGAATTTCTTCAAAACTTTAACAATCCTCTTTTGTAAGTCCAGCAGGAAGAAATTATTCCAATTCCTCTCTTGAATTGGCATTTTTGTTTCCTGATGACAACATAAGCTGGAGCTTACAAGAATTCAAAGAAACAGAGGCTCCTTGCAACATTAAGCTTGTAAGATCCCCTGGAAGTGACTGAAGTGACCACCATTATTTCTCCTCCATTGCAAATGGTCATGACCAGATGAGCTGATAGATACAGGCCTCTGCTGCTCCTCAAAGCTTCGGTCAATCAAGGGCTTTTAGGAAGACAGAAAATTGTGGACTAGGATACCAGCCTTAGTGACATCTGTGCCATGTGCAACATTCCCTGATAGTGGTAAGGATAGTCTTTTTGGTCATTGGACTATCAGTGGTAAGGATAGTCACTTTTGGCCATTGGACATGGACCACAAGTGCAACCACAGCCCAGTTTTACCCAAGCATGCTCATGCTCTTCTGTGCAAACTAGGATCTCCAGTCTAAGGACTGCCTTGCAAGCCAACAGATTGTGGCCTGCATCCCACCAATTAGAACATCCATGCAGTGGGAATGTATTGTCCTTGCCCGTGAATAGTAATAGAATCAGGAATTCCCAATATGCATTCAGGCAGAAAGATTGCCCTCTTTCCATCCTACAGGCTCAGCTGTTCTGCTCAAGCATTCAGGAAAGCACCCCATCATTTTAAAATAAAAAATAGTACTGTACGGCTGCCTTTCCATTGTAAAGCACTATTCACACACTGACACCCTTACCCATCCCAGATCAGTCAATCAACCAACCAACCAGTCAAAAGTGTACAAGAGGTAACCTCTGAAATTTCTATATGGTTCTTTTCCTGGCTGGGGAATTCTGGGAGTTGGAGTCCACGCATCTCAAAGTTGCTGAGGTTGAGAAACGCTGCTCTACAGCAATGGAGGAAGAGGCTTCTCCAACCTCCCTGTTAGCTGGAAGGAACATGCAACTTCTGTAGCGCTGCCCCGTGTTAAATGAGGGAGCCATCAGGACAGCTGGACATGAAGTTGGCTTATCCTCTGTTTGGATCAGGGGTGAGAAACCTTTCAGGTGGTGGGTTGGGAACTGCAGAGATGTGTGGGAAGAGTCCCCTTCTGCAACAGATGATCAGTAGTGCTTTCAAGGGCCATAACCATTGGTTGCTAGAGCACCCCTAGAAGTGCTTGACTGCCTTCTCCTGGTGCCTGTCCAACAGCTGTTGCCAGCTGCTGTGGAGGGCGGCCTTCAGCAGGCTGCATCAGAGTCTGTGGAGCAGAACTAGCCTAGAGAACGAGCACGCCTCCTACGGTGCCTCCACCATGCCATCTTGAGCACCACAGAGGAGCATCATCAAGCCTGCGTGAGAGGTTCCAGCTCTGCAGTTACATTTCATGTCTTGCCAAGCGAGGAGGGCAGCAGCGGGTGGAAAGAGGACATTTAAGCAGCAGAAGCAGCTAGGACAATTCTCTCAGGGTCATCTCCACGGTTTTAGGACCATCTACTGATTAGCGGGACCTGTCCTTCCTTCCCCCAGTCCTGTTGCCACCAACGCAGCTGTCATTAATGTTATTTTCCTTGCCTAGGAGGTATCTAAGCACCCCAAAAGAAACAACTGAGTTCTAGTCCCCCATGCAAACAGGACAAGAGGTTAACTTCCATCAGTCTTTTTTAGGAGCCCACTCAGCCCCATCACTTGGCTGCATTCCTTAAATCAGTGTTTCTCAACCTTGGCAGCTTGAAGATGTGTGGACTTCAACCCCCAGAATTCCCAGCCAGCCAAGGGTGAGAAACACTGCCTTAAATAGCCAAGGAGAGGCACAAGCAGGGATGGGCCCAGTTGGATTCTTACATGCTAAGCAATTGCTTTAAAGTAGAAGCAAGAAACCTCTGGTCTGCCAGCCCAGCCAGTTGCAAATCCTTGAGCATGGTCCCTCCCAGAAAATCCACTACTCCAGTTACCTGCGGCAAGAGCTACGTTTGCAAGAATCCTTGCTGGAGTGCCTGATGGCCCCACTCTGTCTTGACTGCCCTTGGCGTTCCCCAGAAGTGGATAAGGGGAAAAGAGATGTCATGAGGAGCCAACTCAACTCGAAGAGGCTTCACCTTGACAGGGGTGTCTTAAGCCTCTGCCCAAACTGAAAAACTTCATCCCAAACTGCCCATTTGGTCACTGCAGGGGACTGGGGAGCCACACGCACAGTGAGAGAAAATCACATGTAGCCCGCAGATTGCACATCAGTGTCAGAGAAGCTCAAAAATAAAGATGTTCAGAAGCCTAAAGAAGAGTTCAAGAGTAACAGAAATTGGTTTAGCCGGAGAGGCAATGGGGGGGACAGAAACCAGCATGTGGGACTGGATCCCCGCCTCAGAACAGGACACAGTGAACCACATCTGGGAGTAGGGGCTCCCCTTAACCCGAATCCCCCCGCCTCCATTATGCACTCACCGAACTGCTGGAGGAGCACAAACGTGGCCGCTTGGCTTTCCGGTGCGGGCTGGACGGCACTTCCGTGCCCAGGCCGCAGACTTCGCCTTGCCCCATGCTGCGGGTCACGGGCCGGCTCCGGGTGGTGGGGCTTGCTGCTTCGGCATCGGGGCGCTCACTGGAGCTTGTGCTGTCCCCCCCCCGCGTGCGGCTGATCACTGGGGATGGACTCTTCTCGTGCTGCAGGAAGGAAAAGGGGGGCAGCGGGGGAAAGTTAATGGAGATCACCAGGTCCCTGAGACAGGAAGTGGAACCCCAAAGGGATTCCCAAAGGAAGGAGAGCAACAATAGTCTCACTCCATGCATATTTGGGAGGTCATCCCTGCGTGTCTGTCTGCTTGCCATAGCTTATATCCACCCATCTATTCCATCCACTCACACACCCCACCT